GAATAAGAACATTTAAGGCAGCTCCATTTGTAACTAAAATAAGCTATTCCTTATCAGCACTGAAGACCACCAATGATCTCTGCTCACAGCTTTGAGACAACAGCTATGGCAGCCTCTTGCTCTTGCCAATGAGTTAGAAATCACAAACTGGCATGAAAAATTTGTTGGAACAAACCCCACAGTGGAAACAGGCCTGTGAAGGGAAAACCCTTTGCAGTACTATTTTCCCTCCTTTGGAAAGAAAAAAAACAACACCACAAAAAACACAACAAAACCCAAACATTTGCTCAAAGAAAAATGCTGAGCAGGAAAATAACTCTGGGAAAAGCTAAGTAAAAATAATAAAAAGTGTTTATCAGGAAAGAATTTTGAAGCACCTGTTTGTTCTATTACTGACTTGTCTCCTAAAGATTTTCAGTTTTTTCCTTCCTAGCAGCTTCTCCAACACAGTCAGAAGAAATAAATTCCCACACGAGGGAAATGACCAACTGTTCTCTTTGATCTAAGGGGATTATCAAGGGCCCTGATGCCAGCAAAGCCACCCAGCACACCAGGGGCATCACAGGGCCCCAGGAGAGCTGGAAATAATTAACACAAAACCCAGTGGCCTTGAGCTCCTTCTGCAGAGCTCAGCAGGCAACCTTTCCCTAATAAAACTGGAAAAGGCAAAAAGCTGCAAGTTAACATCTTGTTTAAAGGTCAAAAAGAGGATAAACCTTCCTCGATTTCCACTGGAAAATGCACAGTGTACAGCAGGATTTAAGCCTCACCCACCTGGGTCTGACAGGTGCCAAGAGATGCTGATGTGACTGACGTTACAATCCCCTCTTCCAGGAAGGTGTTCAGCTGACCTGCTTTAACATCCATCTTCAGGACTTGCCCTGGGAAGCTGAACCTGCAAGTCTCTGAAAATAAGGAGAAGGTTGAGCTCCTAACACACACTTTACACCTGGAGCTCTTGTGAGCTCTCCCGAGCCTCTGCTCTCCCTGCCTAGCAAGCCTGCCAAGCACAGGATTTATCCCCACAAACTACCTTGAGAGCTTTCCTCTCCACAGGGATTGTGCTCCTGGCCATTCTGGAGAAGCAATCTGTGTTCAGAAGGATTCAGAGGCTTTGGGTGTCATTAGAGTTACCATCAGATTTATGGGAAAGTGTAGAAGCTTAGCTGTAAAAAAAAAAAAAAAAAAAAAAGGAAGAATAGAAGCCAGAGAGCTATTTAATCTGTTTAATCTGAAATCCTTAGACCTTAGGCATGAGCTACACCCCAGCCCAGGCTGTGGGGCTGGGCAGGACACAGGTACCAGTTGCTAGTTTGCCACAGGGAAAGGAGCAAAGCCAAGGCAGCCAAGTCTCCAGGGCTGACCCATCATTTATTTCCCCCAGGCTCTCAGCTGCCATTCTCAACTCAGCAAATCTGAGCATCACAGGCTGGTTTCCTCACCAGTCCAAATAACACTGAGATTTTTTCACCTGTTCCAGCTCCTCTGTCCCCCATCAACAGTGACCCACCCTCTCAAATTTTGTCTGAAGCTGGTAAGAACCAGAGACAGCCCTCTCTGCTTCCACCAGCAGGAACAACACCGGCTGTTCCCTGGGAGGAATCCACAAGTATTTTTGCTCACAGAAAGTACGAAAATGCAAGAGTCAACAATTTGAAGAAACATTCTCACACCTTGTTAGATGAGGTGTGAAACATGAAGCAGGTAAGAGCTTGGCAGGAGCCCTCTGAAGGTGAGAAAAACAAATTTGAGCGATGCCACATCAGGGTCACATTCTAACCACGGGCTGGGAGGGATGTCCAAGTATTTAGCCATTTATTAATGAAACTCTGTAATTAGGCTTCTGTTTTCTTCCTAAATCTGTAAGCTGTAGGACTGAGCACCACAAAGGCAAGTGTACATGGAAACACACACACCAGTGGGAGCCCATTTGGTAAAGCAATGTGTATGTGAAACCACCCTCATTTTGTACACCAAGAGAAAGCCTGGGGAAGATTCTCCTCAGAGGAAGCCAGAGAGATCAACACCTTTACCAGCTGATCCACAGACTGCTCAGAGGCAGCCATGGAAGAGCCAAGCAAAGCAAGTCTCTGAGCAGAAGACTTAGACTAGGCCTTGCAGCACTGAAAGAAGCAGCTAGGCTGACCACCACTGACCAGTTCACATGGGACAACCCAAAGAGACAGAAAAGCACCAGCAACTGGCCCAGTAGACACATCCACTTGTGGGTAATAAAAAAATCCATTACTTCATGCCTAGAGGATTTCTCTACCACAGGGGATGGAGTGTTATTATAAGCAGGGATGGAGGATGCAACAGAAGATGCAATGTCATTTTAATCTGCAGCAATATTGATTGCCTTAAATGTTCTCTTCTGCTCCAATCAAAGGTTTTAAATCTATATAAAAGGAGCTAAACAACAGAATATAAAGTGCACTGATCTGTTACCTTAAGTATGGTCTGAAGGATCATTCCACTTAACAGGAAATCTAATCAGTGTTCTGCTGCTGCTTCACAAAGGACTAAAGAGGTTCCCTTTAAACTGCAACTCAGGATAGGTCAGAGCCAGTGAAATGTTCCCTGGCAGTTGAGAGACACTAGACAAGAACTCAAAGCCTGCACAGTCATGAATATGCCAAAAGTAAAGCTTCTCTCTGCCAACACAGACCATTCCATAAGCAAGGACAGCATTTGAAGACTCCCTTAGTGTCAATCCCTGCTAATTTCAGAAATATCTGGTGGTGCTTTCTTTTGTAAGCATATGTGTTCCCTCTTATTGAGGCTTCCCATATGGTATATTCCTGTTCTAGCTGTAAACAATCAGAGAGGAAAAAAAACCAAAAACCCAAGGAAGCCTGGAAATAAAGAAAACAGCAATTCTAGATTTCTGACAACAATAAAACAATTCCATTGTATCAAAGGAATGACAGGGTTTTTAACTATAAGGCACAGATGCCAGTTTTTAGTAGCTGTTCTTCATGCTGCCTACCTGTTGGTGAGTGGACACTGCTCAAGGTCATGCTGCTGGGATTTGTGCTCCCAGGAACCAGCAAAAGAAACTCTCCACAGGTCAGACATGGAAGCTGGGTACTTCATGGGTATGAAACTCTGGCTTTATGACTAAAGCTGCTCCCTCTTGCCTTCAGATGGATCACAACCCAACATCACTATTTTTAACAGCACTGTAATGAAAACTGCAAAATCTACTCACATGTAGTTCCACCAGAATAATATCTGAATTAAATATATATATATATCAAAAAACCCACCCTTTGTTCTTATGAGTAAGCAGCTACAGTAAATGAAAGCATCTGCAGATTGGCACTGGCTAGAGGGCACAATTACATACTCATTCCACCTCCAAACTCAATATGTCACAGATAAAAACAAGCACAACTTAAAACATTTTTTGTTGTTAGAAGATTCCAGAACCCAAGGATTTCTGGATTAACATAACCATTAGAATGTGTGGCAGGCAGGTAAGAGTTCTAGGCATGTTACAGTTCTACCTTCTCCCCCCTCCATCAAATCCCCCTCTCAGTCCTACAGCCAGAGCAGCTTTCACAAACCATCCAGTTTGAGCAGCATTTCTGTATCCTGGTGAGTTATTTCACTGGCATGAAACCTGACAAATAGAAAAATAGAAGTTCCCAGATTAAATAAGATTTTATTGTCACATTTAACTGCTTTGTCAGATGTACATTTTGCAGGTTTCTGTGCGGAATAAAGAGAAAGACTGTAGTTGCCATCTTGCCCAGTTCTGATTTCCACCCTTGGGTGCCTGCAGCCAGCAAGGAACCCAGGGCAAGCTCTCTCTGAACTGGATTGCAACACTCCAAGACAAAATGCATCAAGTTAAGGCTAACCAGAATCATGTCAAACAGCTAAACCAGACCACTAGGTGTTCAAAGGTAGAAACAAGCCATAGAAAAGTGGAGATTTTAACATCTTTTTTTTTTTTTTTTCTTTCCAAAATAATTTTTGCTTAATTTAGTACAGGTGAGGAGAGGCTCATGAACAGCCTTTTTGCCTACACATACACACTGAAATCTTAAGTCTTGTTGTAAATCTGAACTACTGCTACTTGTAAGCAACTGCTTTGTTCTTCTGGGTGCAAACCAAAGAAGTGGCTATGGACCCCTCAAAGGGACAAATGCTTAAGATAACCTCATCTTCAAATGTGTGTTTTCTCATTTACAGACCAGGGAGAAAGTCCAATCATACAAACTTCTTAGTGGCACAATTTCACATATTTTGGGCAATGTTAGCATACAAGCAGTGTTTAAATAAGTGCATCCAAACATGAAATTCTCCAAATATACCACACTTCATTTATCCCAAATGGCAATTTTCTGACTAGAACCACAATTCAGATTAGAATAATCATTTACACATTTCACCCAGAGGAAAGAGGTAATAAACCCAGGGGACTCTCCAAGCAATCTTCTCCTACCCTATCCCCTATTTATTACATAAAATAACTCATCTAGAAGCATAAATCCAATATGCAGATACAAATAAAATGCAAAAAGCAGTCTCTGATGTTTATAATTTGCAGACTCCGAAGTCTAATCATGATGGAATTTACTACTTCTGTCAGTCATTTACTCCTTGTATGTGCACTTTGTATTTATGCTAAAATAACAAATGAGACAATAAATGAGGCTAGTGTGGCATAAAGTCATTGTAAACCCAGCGAAACCAGAATCATTATATTTATGACATTCATTTGGATGATTTACCAGTCATCCCACACACCCCCCCCCAACCCCCTTTACAGAAAAAAAGGAAACCATAATTTGAAGTGATCACACAAT